CCCACCAGGAGATTTGACCTGTGATGAATTTTCTTTCAGAAAAGCACCTAATGGTTTCATCTTTTCCCTTCCCGTTTCTTGTTCAGTTCTGTGTCTCTGGAATCTTGTATTTAAGCTTTCTTTTGTGAGATATGGAGCAGGAATCCTCAAAGCCCAGAATCGTCAGAAAAGGCAAGAAAAAGGTGCCCGGAAATCCTTCTAGCTGAGGCCGGGCTGTATGTGTTTAAGCAGTGTGTCTTTCCACCTGGGATCACCAGCTGGGGGCCTGCCTTACCGCCTTGCCCTTAGTACATTCCTCATCTGTGTGCACCTCACAGCAAAACCAATTGGGAGGCTTCATCTTTCGTGGGTTTTTATGTTTCCTTCTTCTTTCTCTGTCTGGGCCATGGTGGGCTGCCTGAGTCCCTACGTACGTCCACTTGGTCCTGGAAACTACCTGTTAGTGGTGGTATGTGAGGCAGGGTTATGATCCTGGTCTGCACACTGTGCTGGAGAGTGGCATGCATATGTTTCTTAATTCAGGTGAATGTGGCTTATCTCTGTTTTGAGTGGGTTTGTGTGTGGAGACAGTTACATCTGTGCTTTTCAGACTCAGCCTCCAGTTACCCAGAATCCTATGTTTCTGGTAGGCCTCTAGAAGCAGGTGCCCCTGCACAAGGACCTGGAGAGGGTGCTGGTAACGCTGCCCTGCTTGGAGGAAGGGCTTGGCCTGCCCTGGCCAGTGGGAACCCTCACGAATGGCTGCATGAAAGTCATTTCTTGTGGCAGGGCAGCTCAGTGTCAGGCTAGGGCCACTTCTTCTGGAACTAGCAAGAGAGTTTCATTTCTGGTATCTCTGGTCTCAAAAGCATGAGGATCCTTGGCTCTTACCTCTAGAACTCCCTCCCCCACTTTGTGAAAAGAGCTGACTCTGGTGTAATAGCAACCCATTTCTCCCAAAGTACTTTCCCAGATGGTGGAATGCAACTTGTTGAGTGGCTCAGAGTGAACTGTATCACAGTGGCTCCAGGTGGACCCCCCACCACACAGTGTAACTGACCCTGCTGGGACGGAGTTTCCCTAATTCTCCTTGCCTCTGTGGAATCCGCTAGAAGCAGATGGCTGTTGGGTTGGATTAAGTATGGCTGTTGGGTTGGAAAACTGTGCTGTTTTCCAGATCATGTCTTATGACTAGACCTGGTCCCTGCTGAAAAATAAGAGATGGTATCCCCTCGTTCCTTCATCTTTGGCATCTACTTGGTCCTGGCATTGGTCAGTAGTGGGGTGACATTATCCCCGAAGTAAAAGTTGGAGATTCTGACATCCTGAAAGCTATTGCAAACTCAGTTCAGGTTTTGTGACGTAAACCATTGCAGGATTGCTGTTTCCAGTCTGACCTCTGTGGTCTGCTTTCTCATTTCTAATATTCTCTGTTTTTCCCCATTCAAAAATAATAATAGCTGCACTTACCTAATGCTTACTAAACACCTTAAAAATATTAACTCAAGGCAATCCTCACAGCAACCCTGTGCAGGTACAGTTATCATCTGTATTTTATAGATGAAGAAACTACAACACAGAGAGGTTAAGTAACTTGCCCGAGCTTGCACAGCCAGTAAGTAGTGGAGCCAGGATTGAAACCCAGGCGGCCTGATTGGTGATTGGTAATGTGGTAAACTTAACCACTGCTCTATTAGTTTTGGCATTCTGTCCAAAGCAGGAAGTTATCACTCCTTAGTACCTGACCTTGGCACCATACAGAGAACAATTCCTGGCCTCTCAAATAAAGTGGGAAGAAAACCGTGCCTGTTATTTTGGATCTTACACATCTCATCCAGGATCAGTCTTCCACTCCAACAGAGTGTCTTTCTGTTTTTCTCCGCCTTTCTCCCAGTACTATAGTCTTCATTAGACGTCCTGTGGATGTGATGGAGCCTGCCCTTTGGCTGCCTTTCCCAGTTTCTATGGGTATTTCCTGTCAGTCTTCCAGCACGCAGAGAAGAATGTGGCCTGACTCAGGTTCTGCCCAAGCCCAGTGGCACAAGGCCCACCTGGAGGGAGATGTCTGGGTAACTAGGTTGGTTGGACTGAGAAATGGAAGTACCTCTTGTTTGCCTTTCTAATAATAGCCCTGGACATTAGCCTTGTGCCATTATTTTGGGGAGCATGGAATGTGTGGCAGCCACGAGCTCATTAAGCTTCATTCAATTCCCTCCGGGGATGAAGCTTTGGCAGTGTTTATGACTTCATCCCTTTTATTGAAGGGGGAAACTGAGGCATCAAGACTTCAGGGAGCAGGGGTTGGCTAGGGACACTTAGTGAGTCAGTGTCAAGGTTGGGAATAGAACTGAGGGACCTCATCTCTGAGGTTCTATGCACTGGGCTGCCCTTCAAGAATGGGGAAGTGATGGGGGTGAGGAAGTGGGATGGGTAAAGGGAGAATGGTGCCAAAAGATCAGAAGGACCTTCTGCTGCAAGCTTCTTGTAGCTGATAAGATGAGGATATATTTTGAGTGCTGGGTGGTATCTGGGGGGCTGACCGGGAGGGTGCTGGAGAAAGGTTAAATTTAAGCTCTCCTAACCTGGTGCTGGGGTAAGGATAGGGAAGAGCATAGAACAACTAGCAAAGGCTGAGAGTGCTTCTCTTTCCGGAATTCACAGCAATTGGCATGTGCCAAATGGGTTCTGTAAACCACTTGAAATCTACTCTCATGTCCCTGTCCAGTGTTGGGAGACTTTCAGATGAACTGTCCACGGAAGGCTTCTGTGTTCTAAAGATGAGGTTTCCTAGGGACCTTTAGCAGGAGATAATAGGGAATTCTTTATAGACCTCCCCTTCTGGGGAGGACCCAGGAGAACCCTGGTCACTGAGAACCTGCTTATTGTCAAGTTACTGTTCGGCTGGGATAACCCAGCTGTAGGACCAATTATTGCCCAAAGCCCCCTGCTTTACCCCATTTTGACTTTGGCTGTGCTAGGAGGTCTGAGGCTTCCTGGAATGATTAAATGGCCCTATTAGCTTCCAAGTTTCCATGATATTATAACGCAAGATGGTGGTGGTGAGCTGTAAAGGAGGGTGGTGGGGAGAGAAGCTAAGGATAAAGGGGAAACCCCTTCATGATGCTATTTATAAGCATAGCTTTTTTTTTTTTTTTCCTTTCTCCTGTCAAGCAAGCAATTCTTGGGTTTCAATTGGGTCTCATGCTGCTCAGGCCCCGAGGCACTAAGGTGTTTCCTTCAGCCTTGTGGAGTGGGTGTGTTGCTGGTGAGGAGGACTGTGCAGGGTACATGTGTGTACAGGCCAAGACTGTGGGTGGGGACCTTGGGGGAGAGGCCCATGAGTGAGAACGCTGACCCTTAGGAGAAAGGGTAAATCTCAAGGGGAGGAGAGTCCCCGCTACAGGCGACAGAGTGACCTGACAGCCTGCAAGATGTGTTGGCAGTCATATCTGGGATTGAGCTTTTAACTGCAAAGGATGTGGATTTGTGTGTAGTTGAATCCATAACGTTTGTGCATATCATCTGGGTGCGGATTTAGGAATGACATCCGCGATGTGTTTCTGTCCAGGATTCTGCATTCTGAGGCATGCTAGCCCTGGCTGCTCCCGAGAAATGCCCTGGTGGGACGGTCAGCGGGGGTTCGAGAAGGAAATACTGGCTGGACGCTCCCGGCTGAGCAGGTACAAACCTGCCAAGCAGTGAGTGCTTAGGGGGTTGCCGGCGTGGGCTCTCACGGAGCGCCAAATGGCTACCAAGCGCTTCCTGCCAGCCCTTCTAGACCCTGCAATAACAGAGAGCACCGGGCGTTCCTCACCTTCCCCCACCAACACGTCACTCTGGCTACACCTCTCTGCCAGCAAGAGCGCCCAGGCTGTGTGGGTGGTAGCAGGGTGTGCAAACATCAGGCGTGGGCGGTTTGGCAGCGCCCGGAGTTTGCATGGAGGGGCAGCGAGCCTGCGTGCCTGGCTGGGAAGGAAGGAGAGAGGAGGAGGGCGGGACAAGGGGAGCCAGCTCTTAGCCCCAGAGTGGCTATTTTTAGCCAGGCTATCTGATTGTTACCGGTGTGCACACAGCTGGGTGTCGTGTCGCCGTGTTGTCCCCCGCCCCCGCCGCTCAGTGAAGCCCAGCGGGCCGAGAGGTGGGAGGTCCTTGCCGAGGACTTCTTCCTGGTGTTGGTGTCTGTGGGCGGGAGCTTGCCAGGGGTAGCTTTAAAGGTGTGAGGGCAGCTGTAACTCAGGATCTGGTACCTCTGTGTGTGACTTTGTGCTCTGCTGGTAATGTACATGTATCTCATTGTGATCTCTGGGTATGGGGGCCACTGTTGATGTGTGTGTCTTGTGTCTGTCCTTTGCTGGTTGTCATTTGTAATTTATGCTTTAGGGTGAATCGAATATGCCTCACCTGCGCATATATGGGATAAAAAGGGTGCGTGCTCAAATACATCTAATATGAAACATCTGTAAAATTGTTGGTGTGTGCTTCATTGGTGTATATTTGTGTTTACTCAGACTGTTTTTCTTTACATGTTCACTTGTGCTGTCTGTCTGTGGATGTTGTATGTAAATAAAACAAGCGTCACATAATTGGAGAGTAGACTTTGGCTGATTTTACCTGGTATACTAAGTTTTTAAAAAAATTATATAGTTTAAAATATTATGTTGGTAGGGCTTTAAGTAAGGAGGATTGAGGGAATAGCTCAGTTGGGGGGGGGCGGTTTGACTTCTCTTTTAGTCCTGACTGAAGGGAGAGTCCTGTTGGCTATGTTGTACATTGAGATGTAGGGTAAGTACCCGTCTGTCATCTGGTAGATGATTGGTGATATATTGTTTGGGGGCTTTGGGAACACTTGGTTGAGGGCTGTCCTGTGACAGTCTCCAGTGGGAATTATAATGGGAAGAAACTCTACTTCCCTTAAAGCACTAAGATTTGAATATTATTTGCCACTAGTAACCGGCTATAACACTCATCTGTTCTATTTTCCTCTCCCCTTTGTTCTCTTCTCCGCAGAACCCAGAAGTACCATGGCTTCTGACCTAGAGAGTAGCCTTACCTCCATAGACTGGCTCCCCCAGCTGACCCTTCGAGCTACCATTGAGAAGCTAGGGAGTGCCTCTCAGGCTGGGCCTCCAGGTGGCAGCCGCAAGTGTCCCCCAGGCTCACCCACAGATCCAAATGCCACCCTGAGCAAAGATGAGGCAGCTGTGCACCAGGATGGCAAGCCACGGTACAGCTATGCCACCCTCATCACCTATGCCATCAACTCCTCTCCAGCCAAGAAGATGACCCTCAGTGAGATTTACCGCTGGATCTGTGATAACTTCCCCTATTACAAGAATGCTGGCATTGGCTGGAAGGTGGGATGGCTTCTATAACCTGTGCTTGTTTTTAGCTGTTGACAGCCTTTTTCTCTACTCTTGTTTCTTCCTATAACCTGGTCTAGTTCACTCTGACCTGTTTCAGAGATGTGTGAACTTAAAATCTTATATCTCCCATCCCCTACTCTTTTTCAGAGTTGAACAACTTTCATAAGGTATATCAGGGAAACTTCAGTGATACTGAGCCACTAAGTGTAGTTATGAGGATGGCAGGATGCTGTTGTTCATCATACCCTCTTACTTTCTGAGTCCTCAAAAAGGAGAGTCATTCATTTCACAAATACTTATTGCCACTCTACTATGTTCAAGTCACTGTGCAAGGCATGGCATTGCCTCTTCCTACCTAGAGGTAGGAGTCTCATCAGATTTCCAAAGCTTCATTGCACATAGACCTCATCTTTTGAAAAATTGTATACCAATAATAATAATAATAATAATAATAATAATAAGGTCCTTCACCAACAGCTCATCCACCAAGCAAGTAGATAGAGGATAAGTTGTTTGGCTGGCAATAAAGGAAGAAGGAAACTCCTCTGCCAAGCAAAGAAGGAAGACTGATGTTCTCCATCTTTTGGAGCAGCAACCCATTGGCCAATTGTTGACTAGGAATGGGGATTTAATGTAGTTCTTTTGCTCTGCAAATCACCAGTTGATACACAAACCAGATGATGAGCTGGAGAGTACTAGAAGCGTTCAGCTTTTCCTTCATGAATATGTCCCTGCTAACTATCACAACCCCCAACCTCATCCAACATACATATGCAACATTATTTCTTTCCTCCAAATGTACCATTCCCGTGGGCTGTTGAGAAAACAAAGGTGAATTTGTGCCTTTGCTTTGCTCCTAATTTGTATTTTGTTTTTATTTATATAAACAGTCTTAAAGTATTATTCTTTTACGGGAGATCTGATTAAATTTAGACACTGGGCAGATGTGATTTTAGGTATTTATATGCCTGTTGTCAGCTGGGTGGAAAGATTGGAAAACTATATAACCAGAAAGATTATATAGTTGGTTTTTTTGTATATACAAGAAGCACCTGGTAGTCAAATTTATAGGCATTACCTCCCATCATTTTAATTTCTGCATTTTCTGATCTCAGTGCTCTTGCTATCTGCTAGGTAAGTTCCTCCATCAGTATAGTTAAGAGGTACTAAGTTTGCCTGACACTTGAACTTTATTGTATGTTATGTCCTTTTGTGTCCCTCTGTGCCCTATTGGAAAATTTTCTGCTTTACACAATGCTCAAACCTAACTTGCTTCTCTGCTTCCCTAGAATTCAATTCGGCACAACCTTTCTCTCAACAAGTGTTTCCGGAAGGTGCCTAGACCTCGGGATGACCCTGGGAAGGTGAGATGCTCCTGTAAGCACTGAAAGGGGGAGCAGGAAGGAGAGAGGAGTAGTTGACAGCCTAGAGTCCTGTGGCTGTTTTAATTACCCGGAAGAGGAAATCATGTTAATTAGAGAAGCAGCTTTATTTTTTCTCAGAGGAAGAGCTTGGCTATCACACTTGTGGGCCCCCACTAGTATGAGTGACTAAGAAAGATTGTGAAATCTTTTTTTTTTTAAATAGAATTATTTATGGTAGAGTTGACTTTCATGCCCCCTTTCTTATGTGTGGCACTCTTTCTAGATGTGAAAGGTAGGCTAAATAACCTTTGTAGGAACTTTTCTGTACAAAAATCCCATGACTTTTATCTTCAAAAGGGAAAAGAGATAAATCAATTTCTTCATTCGATAGATGTGGACGCTGGAGTTCAGGAGAGAGCCTCGCCTCAGATCACACAGAAGGGGAGGGTTGTGTCTGGGCATTTCCAGCTCTTTGAAGTAGATACCAGAACAATCGAGGCCTGTGTTTGGACCACAGGTCATACCTCTGACATACTCATTGAACTTTTAGGACAAATTTACTCCTCAAAAATAGCCAGTACCCTCAGGTTTCTGTGTGATTCTCCAGTTATTTTTCTTTTTTTAAAGATTTTATTTATTTATTTGAGAGAGAGAGAATGAGAGACAGAGAGCACAAGAGGGAAGAGGGTCAGAGGGAGAAGCAGACTCCCCGCCGAGCAGGGAGACCGATGCGAGACTCGATCCCGGGACTCCAGGATCATGACCTGAGCCGAAGGCAGACGCCCAACCAACGAGCCACCCAGGCGCCCTCCAGTTATTTTTCTTAATATAACTTTTTTTTTGGGTGAAAATCCTCCCAAATATCTACTTTTCCAGAGGTGGGAATTTCCATATATAATGATTTTGTTTTCTATGGGGATGGGTTCTCCTTCCAGGGCTCTTATTGGACAATTGACACCTGCCCTGACATCTCCCGAAAGAGAAGACACCCTCCAGATGATGATGTAAGTCCCCACTTCATGGGGAGATGCCGTTTCTGAGGCAGCTGCTCAGGCCACATCCTGTCCTGTAGTTTTGGTCCTTTCCTGTGTTTGGGGCAAAGGATGAGGTGAAACCATGGGTCTCGGGAGGATGTTTAGTTTCTGCTTCTAGATTTCTGTTCTTTTACAACCCTCAGCTATCCCAAGACTCACCAGAACAGGAGGCAAGCAAGAGCCCACGGGGAGGCGTTCCAGGGGGTGGAGAAGCCTCACTGCCTTCAGAGGGGAATCCTCAGATGTCCCTTCAGGGCCCCACATCTATTACCAGCTACAGCCAGGTGAGCAGTAGAGGTGTCAGGGTGCACAGGGACAGACGAACGGACAGGTGGGTGGGTGGCTGAACAGATTCGTAGATCTGCCAGTTCAGAATTCTGTACTGAGTACCTGTGATGTAGTAGGCAGATACATTGGGAAAGAAGGGGAAAGCAGAAGAGGGAAGCTGAGAGAGAGACATAACAGAACTTTGGGAAGGATCAGAGGGAAGAAAGTGGTGAGAAGAGAAGGGGAGCCAAAAAGGTTATGAGAACGGAAGATGGACAGAGTGTGGGAAAAAGGCTCGAGGTACATCCCCATAGGAATAAATGAGACAGACGGGGGGAGATGATGTTCACTCACTGACAAGAGAGGATGAAGACAAGCCAGAGAGCTTGGTGAGCATGAAAGGGCCGTGTTCCTGATTTAGCACATGGATCGAGTCTCTCTCTTACTCCTTTTTGCAGGGCACGGGATCTGTGGATGGGGCAGCAGTGGCAGGAGGGGTTCCAAGCCGAGAAAGCGCCGAGGGTCCTCCTCCCCTGTATAACACCAACCATGACTTCAAGTTCTCCTACTCAGAGATCAATTTTCAGGATCTAAGCTGGTCCTTTCGCAACCTCTACAAATCCATGCTGGAGAAATCCTCTTCCTCCTCCCAGCATGGTGAGCCTGCAGTTGGGGTGGGGGCACGAACGTCCTTATACTCCTGAAAGGGTGGTAACATTCTCTTCTCTGCCTTCTGTCTTATTTTTCACATGAGGAGAGGTTGATCACTGGTCAGGGGAAGCATCTCAGATACCAAAATTGTTTGGAGTCAAGCTCTTCTGGCTTAGTTCTGAAGGACAGCTGTTTCGAGAGGCAGGCTGGGTTATTAGCCTCAGAAAGTGAGTTGGAGGGATCCTCCTTCCAGAACTAAGGGCAGTGACTTGATGGCTGCAAGCAGGTCATTTAGAGGATGGCCACTAGGGGACAGCAGTGTTTCCTTTCCCTCAGAATCTGCTTCATTGTGAGACAATTTAATTTTTTAGCATTTTTACAACTATGCTGATTTTTATTTTTAAAAAAGGATGTATTTATTTATTTGAAAGAGAGAGCGAGCAGGTGGGAGGGGGCAGACAGGGAGGGGCAGAGGGAGAGAATCTTCAAAAAGACACCCCACCAGGAGCAGAGCCCACCTCGGGGCTCGATCTCACCACCCTGAGATCAGGAGATCATGACCTGAGCTGAAATCAAGAGTCAGACGCTCAACCAACTAAGCCACCCAGGTGCCCCGTGTTGATTTTTATTAGAAGAAAATCTCAAACAGATGGAAAAATAGAGAAAATAGTATAATAAACCCTCAGGTTTCCAACTTTTAAGACGGCCCAATTTTAACAGGTACCAATGTTCTGTTCAGCTCGTTTCATTTACCACCCACCTTTTTTTTTTTTTTAATTGGAGTAATTTAATGCAATTCCCAGGAATGTCATCCCACCTATAGATACTACTTCAGTGTGCAGTCTTAATGATAAAGACTTGGTTATCCACTGCCATTATTACTCTTAACACAATTAATAATACTTCCTTAATATCAGTTTATATTTTGTCCATACTCAAATTTCCCGAATTACCGTGTGAGAGTAATCTAAAGTTCTTATTGGAAGCCTCCTTAAGAGATCATCTGGTCCAGCCCTCTGCAACTCCTGTTTGTTTCTGTTGTTAAAGAAATTAGAGGTGGGGGTCGACTTCGGGTGGGGCCTCAGAGCCTCTTCGTGTAGCCACCTTGTACAGGCCACAGGGGATGAATGGGATGATGAAAAATGATTAGAAGCCACCTTTCAGAAAATTTATATTAACTGCCATGGATTTCTTCTTTTATATCTCGGGGGATTTAGATCTGGAGTTATGCTCCAAGACGGTAGCCTTTGCTTGATGAATGAATCCAAGTTGGGATTGGTTGATCAGAAGTGGGGAGCAGGCAGGGGCTCTCAGAGACAAAATGAAAAATCAGATTGAATGAGGATTCAGGTGTTCACTCAAGTTTAATGCCTACCTAGCCTCAGTCTCTAGCTCTTCCCTGCCCAGTGTGTGTGAGAAATTCATCCATCCTTACTCTATGCCTCACCCAACTCCATTTGTTGGTAGTGAATCCAAGAAGGTGGTAACAGCAAAAGAGTGTAGACACAGTAAGCAAAGAGAGTAGGTGCCCAATGGCTTTATTTTATTTGTAATTTACCTTTTATTTATTTATTTGAGAGAGAGAGAGAGCATGAGCAGGGGAGAGAGGGAGAAGCAGACTCCCTGCTGAGCAGGGAGCCCAACGTGGGGCTGGATCCCAGCACCCTGGGATCATGGCCAGAGCTGAAGGCAGATGCCCAGCCAACTGAGCCCCACCCAGGCGTCCCTGTAATTTACTTTTTAAACTTCCCTTGATAATCTGACTGCTTTTGACACTGTGATTCCAGGCCTACCCCCAGATCCCTGAGGAATAGCATAAAAAGGTACATGCTGACCTTTTTGCTAAAATTTGAGCAGTTGCCCCACTGTCAAGGCCCTCCATCTGTCTGTTGTATCTACAGAGGTGGGGGAGTCTTGGGGGGCGGAGGGAGCCGAGAGGATCCTTGCCTTCTCAGGACACCCTTACCCTTTGAAGTCTGGGTTTTTTCCCCCCAAAGCCTCCCATCTCAACCCTGCCGAAGTCCTCTTTAGTGAAAAATGCATTGGGGTGTCCAGTAAGGTCAGTCGGTTAAGCGTCTGACTCTTGGTTTTCTGCTCAGGTCATGATCTTAGGGCCCTGGAGTGGAGCCCGGTGCTGGGCTCCATGCTCATCGTAGAGTCTGCTTGAGGATTCGCTCTGCTCCTCCCCTTGCTCGCCATGCTCTCTCTCTCTCAAATAAATAAATATATCAAGGAAGGAAGGGGGAGGGGAGGGAGGGAGGGAGGGGAAGGAAGGAGGGAAGGAGGGAGGGAAGGACGGAAGGAAGGAAGAAAGAAAAAGAAAAGAAAGAAATGCATTGCCCAATTCACTTGGCTGCTTCCTCCCACCCTGCAGGCTTCTCCTCTCTCCTGGGGGACATGCCGCCCTCTAACAACTACTACATGTACCAGCAGCCGCCGCCGCCGCCCCAGCAGCCGCCACCTCCCCAGCAGCCACCGCCCCAGCAGCCGCCGCCGCAGCCGGCCCCCGCCCAGGGCCCCTCCGCTGTAGGGGGTGCGCCTCCACTGCACACCCCAAGCCCGGATGGTTGTACCCCAGCCGGGGGTAAGCCGGCTGGGGCCGAAGGCTATGGGCCTCCCTCGGTGATGGCCATGCACCCACCCCCACTGCAGCACGGAGGCTACCACCCACATCAGCACCATCCCCACCCCCACCCTGCCCAGCAGCCGCCGCCACCGCCGCCGCCGCCGCCGCCGCCGCCGCCGCCGCCGCCGCCGCC